GATCGGTACTTCCTGTTTATGTTGCATTTGTTATCTTTTAAATTCTGTGGCTTCCTTGCTGCTTAAACCCCAATGGTTTGGTTGCCTTTAACACCTGACCCAGTCCTCAAAGGAGCAGGCTACCAATCTCAGAAGTAAGTAGATACTTTTTCAGAGCTTCCCTCTATAACAGTGTTTCTCAACCTTGGCCACTTCAAGAGATGTGGACTTCAGCTTCCAGAATTCCCCCAGCCAGCAAGGCTGGCTGGGGGAATTCTGGGAGCTGAAGTCCACACGTCTTAAAGCTGCTAAGGTTGAGAAACACTGCTCTGTAATATGCAACTCAGAATATGAGCCTCATAGACATCCAATTCATCTAAAGGACATCTAAAGGGCAAAAGTGTAATACCAAAAAACTCAAGTACTGTATTATTTCATGGGGGGGGGGGAATGGAGTGTGACATGCTTGTATATAGGGAGATTATAGTTAATAATTTGAGAAAAAGAATAAACGGATCATCTCTAGAAGTTTTTAAGTAGGAGTGGGCAACTAGTGTCCTTAAAGGTGTAAGCAAGTGTTGAAGACATTCAAGTTCATGCTTTGTTTATGTGCTTTGGCAAAGAATTTGTTTATTTGTTGGAAAACAAATTGGTACCAGGGAACAGGAACGTGCCAAGTTTGGTAAAGTCCCCAACGCTCAACAAATTCAGGGCAGTATTCTAGGGAATCCATTAAAAGTTTTTGCAAGCTTCAGCAAAGCCTGAACATACTTTTATTATCATACTCCCTTCTTTATCAGTACACATACTGGTTTCACCTTCCCTCCCCTGCACATGTAATTTGCTAACCTCATCACATAGTCACATTCCTTCTCAAGAACTTCAGAGAACTCAGCATGTTTTAGGATATTCATCTGAACAGAGAAAAATGACTCCACTCAACTCACTTCCCCACAGGCCTTGAATTGATCTCAGAAGTCCTGTGCAAAAAAACAGCTGAGAACTGAAGAGTTATCACCTTCTCAGGAGAGGACCAGATGTTCAAGGAAGTATCAGAAAAAACAAGAGCACACATGTTCAGGAAAGGGGGGGATCAGGAAGAAAGAGAGTGGTGATGGCTCCATCTAACAAGTGCATTTGAGGAAATGAGGATGAGAGAGGAAAAGTTTCCCCGTGTGATTTAAAAATACTGAGATTCACTTTCATCATATTGGGGTGCAGTCCTCCAGGAAAAGTAGCAGCTCCAAAGCCCAGTTTCTAGAGCTACTTCTGAGCGAACAATGTTGAGTCAATGGGATCATAGCTGTAGAGTATTTGTTAGTGGAACACAATGCTTCTTAGTCTAGGCATCTGGCAGGAGGAAAACAGTAATGCAGAACTCCCTTTGACCCTCCATGCCAGAGGGAACTTCAAGGGACTGTTGTTTTGAGAATGGTCAGCAACCTCTGGCTCCATCCATCAGCCAGGAATCCAATTGCTCTTGGAAAACTGCATGCCATGCTTTCCAGGAAGTGTAACATGGCAACAGGGAGACCAGCCTGGCCCCGCTCCAATGCTTGCTCTCCTCTTCCTCCACATCCTCTTCCCTTTTGTGCCATTTTATTTAGTTACTTATTTACTAACTTGTATGGCTGCCTATCTTAACCAAATAACTCTGGGCAGCTAGTAGACAATGAGCCTACTGTCTGCTGCGCTGTTTGGAGATATAGGAGATGAAGACCAACACTTCTGGAAGGCCCTAGGTACGAGAAGGTTGTTCCACAGTGGCTGTCCAACATTAGCACAATGATTTCCCCAGGGATGAAAGAACTGCAGTTTCAAATAGAATAAATGTGACACCTTCAAAACTAGGCTTGGAGCAAAAATTCAAGCTATCGTAAAGGCTTCCTCTTTAAAGAAACATCCATGAAATTTTGAAGGGGGCAAACTGGCTTTACATTGACCTTTAAAGTTACTTTTGGTGTGCTTTTTCATGATGTTAATATTTCAACCATGTTTTATGCAGTTGTGGGTTTATTGTTTTGCTTTGGGGAAAGGACTGCACTGCCTTCACGGCTTTTGCAGCTGTCATGCTCATAAATAGATAATAATAATAATAAAAAAGAGTATCACGAGACAAGAGAAAAAGTAGTGGGGATGTATATCCCTTCCCGATACAGAAAAGACACTGTTGGAGGGAATGTGTTTAGACCCCCTGCAAATTTGGAACCCCTGCAACAGTGGCAGCTGTGCTTCTATGAAGCCAAAATGATCATCTGGAGTCCATGAAGCACACGGACAGACTTTTCCCAGATTCGTTGGAAATAGTTCCAGATCCATGTGGAGATACCTCTTCTGCTGCCATCAGTGGGAGAAAAAGAAGAGGCAGGGACTATTTCGTCTCCCAAAATGGATATCCACTGTTCAGGTAGAAAGGGAAGAATGCTGTAAAGGATACAGCATGTAACAAAGCACCACAGGCTCTACAATGGAGTGCAGAATGTCAGATAGCTCGATTCAGGTTGGAAATAGGACTAAGCCATTTCTAACATGTCCTGAAGGCCTCCTTACATTCAGGAGTTTACACCAGGCGTGTCTACAAAGGCTTAGCACAACCTGCCTAGCTCTGAAGATTAACAGCAGTCCCTCAAAAAGTCTGCCTTAAAATATATGAAGTCAGACTCGGAAGGTCCACCCATCCTGATGTGTAGTTATTTCCTTGGAAAAGTTAAAATTCTCTACAAACTTTGTAGCTGAGGAAAACTATAAGTTGGAAAGAGGAAACATATTTCCATAAAGCAAGACCTGTTTAAAATTGGGGTGAAAGAGACAATTAACCCAAGTCCCAAACACGGAAGAAATCCTACCCAAGATATGTTTCAGGATTTCAAACCTTCAGATGGATCAAGATGTTTCATATAAGGCAGGAAAATAAATCACTTAAAACAGAATCCCAAGGGTTACTTCACTATTTTGGGTTTCAATACTAGGATGCAGTAGGAAGAAAGGGGGAGGGAGGGAGGGATAGACTCAAATGAACTTTTTACTCAGGCAGCTTCTAAAAAGCCTTGCTGTTGAGAGACCGCAAAGATTTCCCTCCATGTTTCTTCTCTGTCCCCACTGAGCCCTCTTCCAGTCCTTGGTGCTGCAGAATGTTGCCATAAGAAAGTGTAGTGCAGCCCAGATTCTTTAGGTAGTTCCATCACAAAAATTTGCTGGAGGATTTCCCTTCTGGCACGCAGAGTCCACTAGAAGGCACCTCCATTTTGTTCACCATCATGGCTGGGGTGATGGCAGCCACAGCTGATCTGGTAGATACTAGGTTGGAGAAGACTGTTTCATCCAATTCAATTTAAATGATAGCCTTCATTTAATTTCCTAAAGGTATAAAAAAGTTCTCCCAGGGGTCACGTTTCTTTTAGCATACAGGGGATAGTTCTAGGGAATAGTTTTTAAAGAAACTATTTTCAAACATACAATAAAGGGGGAAGAAGAGGAACCCTATGATGATAAAGCTGAACAAAATTAAGATCAGATGTTAAAGAGTCAAACAACTGGGTAATTAGGATGAAACTGTGTATAATTAATTTGGGGGACAGTCATGTGGAATTGTTTTCTTGTTCAGACCTTCTTCATGCTACATGTCTAACTTCAAGGTCCAGAAACAGGATTGGCAGAGTGGCTCTGGCCGTTGTGAGGTAGGGCTCAGAAGAAAAAGATGAATATTTCCTGAATTGGAAGAAGGCATCTCAAATATTTCTGGATCCCTCTCTTTTATGAGAACATTTGTGGCAGAATTATTGATCCTCTTGTAGTACATTTTAAGCCTGTGCAGTTGACTTCCCAGACCAGCACATCTGGAAGCCAGTTTCAGTGAAAGCTTATGCTTTCCTAGCCGTTCAAATAAAATAGCTTCTTCTGTGAGTAAAGTTTTAAAAATGGGATCTCCAGGCTATTCATCATTGGTTAGAGCATTCTCAACATCCAGTGTACCCACCTGAACAGATGAGATCTACATTTTGGAACAGTTACGAGATGAAAAGACTTACCAAAGTAGACGGGCTTTCCACACATGGGGCAGTAGGAAATCATTGTCTGTCTTCCTTTAGGCCCCACTCTCCAATGAACACTTCCTGAATAAACAGCTTTTTGTTCACATGAACAGACAGGAAAAGCATGGTTGGGTGAGCAGGGTGGTGCTCCATTCCGCTTTTTCAAAGAGGATGTTGTGGTTGCTGGTAAATGCTGTGTAGTGGCAGCATGGTGTGGGAGGAGGGTATCAAGTACTTCTTATTTAAAGCATGATTTTGCCACAGGTTCTGGTGTGGCAGTTTTGGGCCTTACTCCCATTGCTTGCTTGCTTGCCTGCTTCTTTCTTTCTTTCTTTCTTTCTTTCTTTCTTTCTTTCTTTCTTTCTCTCTCTCTCTCTCTCTCTCTCTCTCTCTCTCTCTCTCTTGTTTTTTAAAAACTCCCATTTTTACTCCCCTTGCTTGCTTGCTTCTTTCTTTCTCTCTCTTTCTTTCTGCCTTTTTAAAATTTATTTTAGATTTTCTTTTCTTTTCTTTTTTATTAACACTCTGCCTCCTGAAGGAAACATGTATGGTGTCCAAAACAAAGCAAACAAAACCTGAAGATACCTTCCTTAAAGCAAGAGAATTAAAAAAGTTAAAATATGATAATTAAAACACAGCTCTTTTAGAAACACTGTTCTGAAAGGAATTGTGCTGTCAACCCGTCCCACCCATCCTTTGCCTCTTATTTCAGGGCACTGGCCACACAACTATGTCTTTTTCAGGGGGCATGCTGGGAGAAGGGATGTCAAAAAAATCAAGATGGCCAGGACTGACCAACTGAAGCCCCGCTCCTTTTTAAGTGCATCATGTAATGATCACACATTAAAAAGGAGTGAAGTTTTGATCATGGGATCATGGCTGCCATCGGGACTTCTTTTTTTAACCCATCTATCCACGCAGCCACCCACCTTGCAAATGTCCCTTGTCTCTTTCTTCCTCTCCTCTTATTCTAATTTCTTCTCCTTGTGAGGCACATTCTAAAACAAGTTCTTTTAAGCTCTGCTCCAGCCTAAAAGAAGAGAAGGAGGCAGGGTGTCAGACAGTACATGAGAACAAGAAACAAGACTTCAGCCTTAACCAGTGAAATCAGAAAATGGTGTGACCTATCTTGACCTAGTTCTGGTTTCTTTGAAAACTACCATGTCTTGTGTCCCCGTGCAGCTTATGCAAACATTCTTATCTTCTAGACCAGCATGGGCAACTTCTGGCCCACGCAGCTCCCAAGCCCTCTGTATGATGGTAACAAAATGCAGTGGCTTTGCATTCATTCTTTTTTCACCATCCCCCTCCCATTCATGTGAGAATCTGTCGCAAATCCATCTTCTTTTAAGTTCTCAGTGTGTCTGATGTACAGTACTGTGCAAAGGTTTTAGGCAGGTGTGAAAAATGCTGTCAAGTAAGAATGCTTTCAAAAATATATATTGTAATTGT